CTTTGCCCTTAACCTGGCCATTTTTTCGGATTATTAATTTGGATATATGAATTGTAGAATCTGAAGAGAATTTATCGAAAAGAATATTCTTCGTTCAAACGCTAGTCTTTTAATAAAAATTTCATCGAAAATAAATTATCTTTGTTGAAACCAGTAAAAGTAAAGGTAATTTGTACAGTTGAAGATAAAATGAGTCCTTCAAGTAAGTGGACAAAATATAAATTAACCATACAAATACAATGTATATCGGCGTTCAACAAGAAATGGACTGGGAACCCTTTCACCCAGTCATGTAAAAAAAAGTTAAAAGCGACACACATCATTATGAATAAACAATGAATGTAGCAATTAATACCTTTAAAAGTACAAAACAAACTAAAGATTTCAAATAATACTTGCAAATATGAGCAATCGGTAGTTCTTTGAGATATGGATGCTTTGTTGTGTGCAAAATTCTAAAAATAGCTAAACATGCACAAACTACTGAATCTTGGACAGTAGTATAACATATACATAAAAAGTAAAAAGGGCGGAAAGAAATGATAGAGCAGAATGGATCTGATGCCAACAAATAAAGGAGATCAAACACTACATAACCAGTAACGACGGGTTATGCATTAATTCATTTGATAAATTATGTTTAATGAAGGATTTAAAAAATATCTGGATATTAGCAGATACCACTTTGCAATCAAATAATTTAACATTAGTGTGAACGAGTGCTAGAAAACGGTATACGGTAATGATAATATTAAGTTAATATGGTAGATAATAGAATTTTGGTTATATCGAAACAAAATTAACATACTCGTCAAGATACATGGATGGATTTCGTTCATAAATATTCAATACCGAGAACTTACACACAAACAGACAATACTGTTTCCCGAATGCTAGTTTACAGTGGAATTTCGGACTTACAACTGGTTCAGTTGTATCGACATCACAGTGTTGATGCTCATGCTGGAACTCAAGCACAACTCTTACTGCTCAAAAAGACAATATATTATTAGCCAAGAACGAAATCCATATACTAAATGTGATTGTTAAGTATAATCCGAAAAAGCTAGTGAAAACTTGTAACTACAAGCCACTTAACTGGCATTGGCTCAGTGTGTATATATTCTATAGTTATACACAGTACTCAATATCACGAGGAATAAATTAAAAAACCCTAAAAATATAATACAATACTGTCTAATGATCTTAGGTTTACAGCTAGTCCATAGTGAATGTTATTTCCGAAATATTCAACTTTCTTATTGAAATAGCCAGAAAGAATTAAATCTTTATACTCAGGGATTAGTTTGATTGACAGTTGAGTGAACTAAGTAAACTGTATCGTGAAATTATTTGTGTTTTAGATTACCATTAGTAATCTTTATTTTGATGCTGAAGCGATTTAAATTATTCTTCTGGTTCGAAATTTCTTCGCAAAGTTGTTTTCAACGATATGAGATTGCTAAAGCCATGCTTAACCCTCCTCATTCGTCCGAGCTACAGACCAGAAGTAACCCGAGAAAAGCTACAGTAGCACGTGACACTGTTAGTACTCAATAATAATTCCATGACTGAAAAATGATAAAAGTTATTTTGGACATTAAAATATAAATAATAGATATTATACTGCGCTTGATAAATTCTTTGCACAAACAAAACTGACTTTTACGAATTGACAAAACAATGATGCACAGCTAAGAAAATCTAACAGGCTTAACAACTCATACAATTAGGTTGATCTAAATTTCTACTTACGTTGTACGCAAAATAAATTTATATATATTGTTATAACGTGAAAATATAATGCTGCTGACTAAGGGTAGCGAATTACTGATCGGACCAAAGACGCGCAAACACGTAGAACGACCTAGGGTTCTGATTGGTCTCGCTTCCCTGTATAGCCCAGCCAATTGAGTCAAGAACGAAAGTCTCAGCCTCGGATATATGAATCATTATATTTCAAACATACTTTGTTTATATACCAGTCAAGCAGACCACATCGTACCATAAAATAGAAATAACATTGTACAATAATGGCCAGTAGGAAAATGACACGTTAAATAAATATTGACCAATAAGATAATACCATTTCATGTCCAAGGATAGCATTTGCCTTAACAGGATAATTTTTGGGATATTTTCCTGAATATCCCAACATATATATTGGTTGGTTATGTGAAGAAATTTTTACTTAACTATATTACATAATAGGAGTAAACTGAATATTATTGAATTCTCAGAGTATCCATTTTCCAATATTAAATATAGGCTAAGCACTAAGACTTTTTAGTATTCATTCCATTCACTTACTAGGTGTGTGTTGCATTGAAATGCATAATTTTTACAGAGAATTTCAATTCAATCTCTAACTTTCACCTTATTTGAATTCTTCAGAATGAAAACTACGATGCATTAAAATGATATATATAGAAAGGATATTACCAAAGACATTTCTATATTTGAAATGAGGTCGTTAGTGGAAATTATACTTTCATAAACAGCATTCACGGAATAAATCAAAAACGAAAATGTCCTAGGATGCACAGAGTAATAATTTTATTGAACGCTGAAAAAGCATTGTACAAACTCGAACCAAATAATACATATGCATCAGTTATTCAATGAGAAAATAACAAGTTAAACAAGCATGACAAATCGAAATGAGAAAGAATTATGTTAGAATTATTAATTGATATTTAACCTAAACAGTTTTAATGGTAACAGACATAAAAAATGGAAGAATGAAACCAAAAGTAATTTGATGACCAAAGAGAAGAAAGAAATCGTGCAAACAATTTCTGAATGTAGAGATCAGGTTCATGTACTTAAACTCCTACCAATTCCACTATATGTGAGAGTCAAATTCACAAATCATAAAGTAAATTAAATGGGGTTCGAATATTATTATAAATTCATGCCAAGTAAATGGACTAAATAAACTGAACGTCAAGGTACAGAATTTCTTAATATTACTCCTTCGCAATTCACTCAGATGCGAAGAATTATGTTACAACACACATGATTACACATGAAACATGTATACATTCAGTAAATTTTCTACATAATCTCAATCTCTTTACTCTAAATAAAATATAGGTTGACCATTATGAAGAGCGACCTGTTAAATGAATCGAACCAGAGAACATTAATCATGCGATTTCAGTGGAGACTTTTCACACATATCCAGCCTGGATAGGTGTCGAAGTCGCACATAGGTGAAGTCTCACTATCATACACTACTATATTTGCGATTGATCAATATCACGGAAACACATACAACTCTCAAAACTAAAGTGCCTCTGCAAAGTTTATTCGTTCTATTGTAGGACCATCATTACAGTCCATGCGCTGAACCACCAACCAATAGCATATGCAACAATGACAAAGTGACAATTTAATTTCGCCTGTGAAATTGTCAACACAGTGTGTAGATTAGCTGCATAGTTAGCACAAATTTAAGAGAAATGTGCAATCACTTCCGAATGGATTTCTGGCGAAACATCACACTTCTAAAGCCAGACAGGTTACATTTATTATAAATCACCCTAAGAACAGTTGAGACGGTGAGAATATACACAACCTGAACTGAGGACACGATTAACCATGAATAAATTCCTAATAATATAACATGTTCATCCTAGGTTGATGAGTGTTTGTTAATTTGTGGGTTGCTCATTGTTGGTGTGCAATCAACTATTCTTATTTTATGTACGTCGCATTTGATTGCACGTTTAGTTAATGTTCAGTAATCTCATCTTGGTCACATGCTTCAACAGTCACTTCCATGTGTCGCATCTTTGACTGTTCAATCAAACATTCACAGTATTAATATTGTCAAAATATGTGATGCTTCTATTCTTCGTACAACATCTCGTCCACACATCATATTCATTATTCAGCTAAACATCAAATTGCAAGATAGGTTGTTTACTCGAAATTCATGTATTGATTATTTTAGGCTACTACAACACCAACAACATCATGTTCGATGTGAATTACTGCATAGACAAAATAATGTGATTCGCATGTGTCCACCATCCTGCAAATCAATCATTCACAACACACATGCCAGTAGAGTATGTGACAAACACACGTGAATTTAACCTTGTCCCACAACCCATCATTTGATAGATAGACGAGATTGTTAAATCGATCTTTCTAATATATTGATTGATCGTTTCGAATTTATATGTATTTCTGTATGCAGTTTGTCATATTTCTGATTGCACTTTCATTACATGTGCTGCACACAAATGGAACTTGTTTGTTCATGTGTTTCATACAATATCAATGTGCACCGTTTCAAATAACAAATTTCATCTCGTGTCAAAATAGTGGTTAGGAGGTTAAGTGCACAACATGCGCACCACCAACACTCCAGATTCACATACCGTCCATCTGAGTGGCTACAGTTTTGCCACAATGCAAAGTCTTCTCATCAGTAGTTTATATGAATAATTGAGCTTGAAGTTTCTGCTACATTATAATAATTCGTGAAATCAACATACAGACAAATTGCTGGTAAGATTTCCCAATAACTATCGAATTGAAACGGGCGAAGGATTGATAGTCGACAGAAAACTAAGGTGTAAATTAAATCTGTCTTCAAATTTAGTGTTTCATCATCGAAATGTTGTTCGAGGAATAAGCGCATCAGAGTGTGTGAGTATTTTGACGAGATCAAAATCACGAATGTTTGACTAACCAATCAGACATGAGACACGTTAAAATAAGCATGCAGACCACTGACCAGATACAATACAGATACCAAACACAAGCAAGCAGACACAAGCAAGCAGACACAACTAAGCAAACACAACTGACATTCCATACTACACACCACACACCAACAACCTAACAACAGTCAACCAATAGTAATTCAGTGCATAGGATATACGATTGGTGGTAGAAAATTCTCAACGTGTCACCTGTCTGTCTCACACCCTCATTCAAAATATTATTTCTCTTCATTTCACAACCACAAAACAGGTTGCTTGATTATGATCAATACAGCTCAGAAGTCAGCTTGTGCATCAAGACCACCACCACCACCATCAACACCGTCGAAACAGACCACAGTCACACGATACACAACTGAGGAGTCGAGTGAATTAACCGAATTGATATTGAGATATCGGGATGTTTGGAAAGACAAGAGTCATCCATCAGCACTTCTTCAAAAACAATTGTGGATGCAATTCGCACATTACCTACACTCGAAAGGATGGCCGAGAAGAAAATGGTTTCATCTGCGTCAAAAGGGCCAGCGCATGCTGAAGAAACTCAATAACACGACAATCAATCAGTGGGAGGTGTCGAAGAGCAATCTCAATTCACCTGAAAATCCATCAAACCACAAGTCACTCTCCAGTTCCAATGAAAATCGACACGTGAACGTGAACGGACAAAGTGATTCGGTAAGTTCGCCTTTCCCAATCAAGTGCTAATTGTTTTCATCGAATACAGGTGACTGAGAACCAGTCGAGTGTGCATCAAATCAACTTGCCTACACTCACCCCCTCACCAGTGGTAACCATCACCTCCAAACATCCCACATCAACACTCAGTCCTCCTACAAACCATGTGCAACCGAATCCCCCACACACAACTGGTCCTAAAATCCTGAACGCATTCTCAACAGCTCACATGTCTCAACAACTAGCGATTCCACATGATGCTCTAATGCTGCAACCAACCACCACCACCAACAACAACAACAACACGGTTAGTGAGGTGGCGATCAACCGAGTTGCGTTACTGACTCCTCTCCAATGTGTCTCGTTCGGAGTCACGAAAACCCATACTGCAGACGTATCTCCTATTCAAGAAGTGAATATCTCGAACTCACCATCCAACCAAACGAGTCACATTCCTCTGACTGCAACAATTGATTTATCAACGTGGAGTGAGGACGAGGAGAGCTATCCAGAGTTGAGTGGAACGCGAAATCAGGCGAACACGAATGACGTGAATGATTTTGGTGAAAATGCCAAGGATTGTATCACGTAAGTATTACACCTCTTTTCAACTGACACGTTTCACCTTATGTTATTCCTGTTGTTGTTGTTGTTGTTGTTGTTGTTGTTGTTATACTCTCACCACCAGCACCACATATTCCTGATTAGCTGACTGACTGCTACACACTGCTTGCTGTGTGATCATGAGAATGTGCACTGATTTTTATGACCATGACTGTCACTGTAGCTCTGTGAGAACGAGACTTAGCAGTAGGATTTGATTCACAGAAGCAGTGAGTGAACCACACGACGAGGTAGATGGATAGATAAACAAATAGATAGACAGACTCGCACGTTGTGCGTCACTCAATATCTTGATTATTGTCGTTAATATGGGCTGTGTGTGTGCATGTCTACTGAATATGGGGTGGGGGTATCGAGTGAAAATTCCTATTTAGTTGTGTTTGTCAATTGTGTATATGGTGTAGTAGATTTGATGATAAGGATATATGCGACGACTTCTATGTATATATATATATATATATATATATATATATATATATATATAAACACATGTATATCATGTCTCCTACATCGCCCTGGTGATTATAAATAGATGTTCAAACTGTGACTTGTTTTTGTAGATCCGAATGTGAGCGAACCCCATTGTCAGAGATGTTGATTCACAAGCAAATGAAGTGCCTAGATCTGAAGATTGAAATTCTCCAGATGAAGAAGCAATATTGGTCCGAGAAACTGAACTCATCATCGAAAAGCTGAATGTTGGTTGAAAGTCAATCTTCACATGAACTACCATTGTGATTGTCATCAATTCTATTCACATATGGATAGTAAATTCAATTTATGCATGTGTATGTATAGGTATTTTGACTGACGAAGATTGTTCTCCCTTTTCATCATTATTGTCTATTCGTGGTGTGTGTGTGTGTGCGTGTGTGTGAAGTTGTCTGTCAGTTAGTCCTTTTGTTTCGAATCCATTTGAAGTGGACTATTGTTCAATACTGCTCTGTTTCAAATGTTCACTACTCTATTGAATACTCTGTTGCATACTGTACATAATTAAATTTAAATGTTGGTTTTGTAAAAATCTTATTTTGTCTTTGAATTAATTTATGAACGTGATCGACCATTGGTTGTGTGGATGACGGATAATACTTGACTTTGAATACAAATATGTTAGAACTTTGTCAATTTTATTTCTTATCATGATGATCAATTGGTTTGATTTGTATTTATTCTAGTGATTTCTGTGTAATTAACTGCTTCATTGATATTTCATTTATGATACATATTCGATATATGTGTAGAGTTGATGTCAACTTGAAATTCTTGATGACCACATGTGACAGAGATAGGAGAGAATAAATGGTCTCATTTGAATAATGATGTTATTAATAATAATAATAATAGTAATATTAATAGTGTTGATGCTTGTTAAAAGTAAATGTACTTTTGTTGTATCCAAATAAATAGGATTATTGTATTTTTGACGTTTCTTGACATATTGTTAATCACTTCCTCAGAGTAAATAAATAACCAATATTATGTTAACTATATGAATTCGGTGTTTATCTTGTTGTGCTAATTAGGTATGGAAACTTAGCCGATGCATATGTTTGCCAGGTGCTACGTTGTAGCTGACTGACTGAAGTTTGAATAGTATTAATGAATCAGAGACACAGTATATAATTCGGAGATGCGCAAATCTATTCGCAGATCTAAACAAACATCATTTCACTACATAAATATATCGTAATTCACGACAAATTTTCTCGCTCAGTTATTCGTTTTTATTGTTGGTGCATGTATTAAAGCGATCTTTGCTTACATTTATGTAGAACAAGTTGGAGGACAACAAACTGTTTGAAATGATTTTTAATAAATAAATAAATTAATTAATGGATTCAGTAATCTGCTAACGTAATCACACATCACGACATGCTGGATGATAAACACAAATGTGGTAAGAATGATGGGTTTAAAGGAAATGTTTGGTGAAATCCACAACATTGCTGATAACCTCAGACAAAGGCGATCATTGGAAGGAAAAGCATATTTAACTGATGCAACTCATGGTACATTTATACTGAAATCACATTGGTGAACGAACATTGTAAGTTGTGGGAAATTCCCATGGTATTCACAGTAGAACTCCTAACACTTAATGGTCAAGCCAATAATCTATGAAAAATAATGGTCAACTGGACAAATTAGAAGCAATTAATAAGACAAAACAATACGCATCACACAACTCTGGATAATCAATCAATCAATCAATCAATCAACCAATCAATGAACCAGGATATCGATCGGATGTAAATACAAATCGTTTGTGAATGTCGAATGGAGCAGTTTGAACTTTCACACGACAATGGTAACAACAAATGTAGGCACTGACTCCAGACTAATAATACTATCTTTACCACTGAAGTATTCATCTAACTCACACGGAACGACACTTCAGGTAGTGTTTGACTTAAGAAGCTAAATACTTTCACACTATAATAATGTAGATTAAGTTGTAACTTAATTATGATGTATGAGATAGTAAAATATGATTTTCGACCTAATACATCCTCCCTTTCTCGAACAACTGGATCAAGACAACTTAGAGTACATAGTAGACAAGTTTCGAAGACAAAACAAACGAGCTTTCACGGTACATCGGTATCTCCACCGAGTTATCAGCACTTAACTCGCTCAAGAAAACATTAGGCAAATGCAAAAGCATACTAGAACTCAACTAACAAACACCTTCAGTCTTCTGTTCTTAAAACACACATTTGAATTGGAATCAGGATCCAGTTATATAATAACTTATCTTCAAAGTGATCAATTATCACAAACGCCCATTCGTCAGTAGCCATTGCAACATTACCCACTTGTTTTGCCATACAGATTATAACACTGAAATCTGATATATCTATAAAACATAGTTTGTAAAGGTCAGTATTTCAAAAATTATTACATTTCACAAATTCATTCACAAATTCCATGAATGAATAAGGAATGAGGAATACTTTATTTTCCATAAGAAAAAATTCATTTTCAAAACATCGGGAATTGTATTCGTTAAGATGAGATAAAAATGCGCGATCACATTGTTAATTCAATGTGATTCATGCTTCAGTATAAAATTCTTCGCATTGACTTGAGATGTCACTCACCCACTCAGCATAATATACCGCTTCCAGTTTATGTGAATTCAGTGTAAAATCTTCAGTGAAAATTGTGCTATTCAATACAGCACTTGTCCAAAATATGGATGAAACGATGCTTCAGAGTGATTGGCACTGCACAAATATTGAATAATGAAAACATATGTGCTACAAATTCACAGACACATATCTTATTTAAGTCTATAATAACTATTTACTCAAATCTTATTTTGATTTACAATAACCTTCATTGTACCTACTTGATTATTAACATGATGAAGTTGACCTTCAGTCTCTAATAATTTGTACACTGACTAATCGATAGCATGGCTCACTTTTATCAGTACATTTGTATGAACTACGCTCTAGGAATTCCATCAATCATATGGATGTAGAAAAAATGAACAAATATGTTCATCACATCGACTTATTTGATTTATCTGCAGAAACTGACGGTACTCGAAAAGGGGAAGCACTGAGAGAAGAAACAGAACTGAAAGCAAATAAACATTTTAGTCCTCCCTCCGAAATATACGCCAACCAATCGTTTTCGTTGAACACTCCTTGGACGGGTTTGTGATCGTTTACGGTCATTGAGAATACGAAGATAACGTGTCAGTGTATGACAAAGTTCCGTAGATTCAATTCGTTTCGTTTGAAGTTTTTATTTCACTGCGAAATACTCGGCGTTAAAAGATTTGTCGATCTCTATAATATGGTCGGCAGATAAAGCCAGCTCGTCTACGATTTTCTTTTGGAACGGGACAAGCACTGCATGCATCTGTTGAGGAAGTTTAGACAAGGAAAGTTTTCTAAACAGGAAAACATCAAAAGTCCTTTAACCAATTACCTCTCGCATTCGTAACAACATGTTCGTTGCTGAGCCATGTTGCAGATCGATGTTGTTGAGGAGTTGATCTAACACTTGTCGACGGTTTAGATTTCCGCATTTCACAATAGACCGTCTCAGAGTTTCATAAGTTTCCGAAATATCACAAGTAAGCATACTAGATGTGACGAATCTGTTGAATTTCCGTGGTAGTGCCTTCATTGCTGCGAGGAATTGTGCACATGGATCAGTCACGCTGTGCTCGTAGAAGTCAGTCTCTGCGTAGCACAACCAGGCTTCGACGTTGTCCGGCCAGCATGGCATTAGCTGAAATGAGGTCGGTGTCATAGTATTGATATTAAGTACCTTACGAGTCTGTTCTGTCATGGAGAATATGAAGTGAAGGAATGAATGAAGGCAAAAAATATCACAATACATATAAATTAAAATAAATCAATGATATACGAAGTTGCAAAGAGGAACAGACTCACAGTTTGCGAGTTGGTGTACAAGATAACGTCGGTTCACCAATGAAGATGCCACAAGTATTTGCAGTTTGACAACACTTTAACCAGTAACACCCTCTATCATTGAATCGTGCCCACCCAATGAAATCAAAAGTCAGAAGCGAGGATGTTCGAAGATATATTTATAAATATATCGGGAAGTGACTGATCTAATCTAGCTAGCACTTGCAGGAAGTGTTGAGAACGGCGTTCCCACTCGTGATCTGGTGCGGATGCGTGACCAAGCGCCTCCAGTTAGGTTATTCCATTTTAACTAATGTGGTCACATTGAAATGTCGAAGACTTACGGAGCTATAGATTTTGGGGATTTATTTTGCCACTACAAAATGAAAACACAAAAAAAGACATTTAAGCACATAACTTCTATTTGTAATTTGAAAAATCGTTACGAAGTACAATATGAACATGGATGTATCAGATGATATAGTTTGTCCACAAATGTATACAGGAAGTTAGTAAGCTTCTTCAATTCTTCAATTCCAATGTGTTCAGTCACATGACCACTAAATCATAGCGGCATTCGTCTTTGCAAATCTCTCGTGGACGCTCACCACAGTGCAAGTATTTGCAAAAGAAATTAATACATACAACTCGGTATTGTGTATACACTGCTCTATGTGTTCTAAATCAAATGTCCAATTATAACGACTGAATTAGTCAGGAGCTAACCTAAATTGTTGTTTGCACAGTATCTAACACAATGTAGGCTTACCTGAATGATATTTGGCAACAAGATAATTCAGTTTTATCAACTAACTGCCATCACAATCACTTTGAAAATCTATTTGTTGAACACATTCGTCTGAAGTGAAGAAGATGACTAATTCTCTTATTTATGTCTGACTTAAAAGTCTGACTTGTCTACATACTGTCAATGATCGATCGGTAAGCTTGGTATACATTGAGTTCACACAAAATACACTGGATAAACCACAAGCACAAGGTCAACACCGATTGTAAATAACCTCAGCCAGTCTGAGAAAACAAACACACAGTGGACTCATACAACAGACACATCAAATAAATAAGAGGTGAGAAATAGCAGTAGCTGTATCCCTATCGCTTAATTTGTTCACATATTAAACAAAGATATGACTCATCCAAGGTCAGTATAATCACAGTGGTAAGATTGTGGCATGTGATTGAAGAAGAACTAGAGCGGTAAAACTACAGTATAGAGACGAGTCAATTAGAATCGAGAATGTGGTTTTGTCGGATTTTGTTCCAAATTGAAATTTCACGAAGAGCGAGCAATAAAAATGCATTTGTGCACTGCTGATGTACTTACTGTACTCTGTCAGTTATAATACCAATTATTTTTCACTACTTGTTCACTACTTGTTAACCACATATCTCCTCCGTGTCATTTTCGAAAGCAGACAGTTTTTCAATTTAATCTGCTATCAATTTGATCGATTTAATAATCCCATTTATCTAATGATGGATTGGAGAACAAGGTTTAATTCATCACATGTGTTTGTCACACACTCAAT